AGACCCAACAAAGCACTTACCGGAGATGATGAATTGCGGCGGCAGAGTTGGGTCAGCGACGTGAGACAATTGCAGAAGGGTTAAAGAAGGAGATGGAGATGATTGCAGAGGGGGGGCCGACGGTAGTGGCTGTGTATTTTGAGAGAAAAACGACGTCGTTTTTTGTGGGGACTCCAAGTTTTTTAAGAGGTATGATTGATCTACACTTTCCCGTATATATATATATACATATGATAATAATATCTATCAGTCTTATTTTCTAAAGAGTAAAAAAAAAAATCATCTTAAAATTACATGTTTTAATAAATACCCATTGAAAAAAACTATAATATCATATTTTTAAAGTATGCATTAAGATATTTTTTATCTTTTTTTCTTTTAATTTTTTTGAGATAAGACGAACAAATATTAATCTCTATATATATATATTTCAAATGATAGGCTAGGTCTTGATTCTCTTGAATTGTAACTTCGTTGGGCGTAGGCTGCAGGATTGTATTTTAGTTACAAAGGGGACAGAAAACAAGAAGAACAAACTCCTAATCCAAAAACTCAACTACATCATTTTTTCTCTAGGACAAACGATTCTCAAACTCAATTTGCTTTCTCAACATGGCATCTAAAGATTGTTTCCAGATCAGAAGTAGTGAAGAACTCTGTAACTCCACCGTAATGGCATCTCAAATGAGGCCTACGCTTTCTTGGGGCCCGCGTGCAAGGTAACTTCTCCGGTATTCTTGCTTCCATTGAGGTTGGAGTTGTTGAACATGCCTCATCTTCTTCCTCGCTGCCTTTTCCTCTTAGCTTTGTGTTTATAGGCTTCAATGAAGTTCTTATTGCGATTCCGACTAGTTCCCATTTCTTCCCTTCAGAGTCTAACCCTCCATCCAATTGTGTCTTTTTCGGAAATCCCATCTTCAACAAGAAGGAAAATACAAGCTTTTTGAAGAGAAAATGAGCAAACCTGATAAATGAAATGCTCTGTTCTTGATGAAACCCACCAAAACAGAGTAGAAACGGACAAGGAATAATGGGATTTGAACTTTTGAGACAGGAATAAAACCCAAGAAAAGAAAACCTTTCTTTGACAAAAATCAGGAAAACTGAGGAACAAATTGAACCAAAGATAAGAGAAACGATGGAGTTTTGATTAAGGAATCAAATGAATCAAGAGAACTGATGGGAAAGAAGAAGAACAGAATAAGAGAAAAGGGTTTTAGGTATTCTTTGGGTTTGAGGGTGGGGAGGGAAAACAGAGGAAATGGTAGGGAAAATGGGAGCAAAATGAGGTAAAACAATAAAGAATTCCTGAAGGAGAAAGAGATTTTAACATTAAGCCAATTAACTTACGGGATTAGACAGGAAGAGAGAGAAAAGAGCGGCTCCTTTTGGCGCCAAAATTTGATCTAACGGCTCTATCTTGCGCGCTCAATTTCATGGATTTCCGATTTTGCCATTTGTCTTAACATTGTCACATTGCTGTTTTATTTTTTATTATTATTTTTTATTAGAGTTTTTTTTTTTTTAATAATATTACATTAAGTGGGTTCGAACCCTGCCAAAAAGGGAGAGGGATATGCATTTAAAGGTGGTCGAAAATCACTTGACTCGAATGGTCAGATGCATTAAAGTATTAATTATATTAATAATAAAAAAATAAAAATCAAAACATACTATAATTAAAATTGTTAAAATATCTAATTATAATCATCATTTAATCGGCATTTGCTTAAATAATTTTGTCCATGTTCTATTAATAATATTAATAATAGGACATCCTAATTTTTTGCATGCTCTATTAATAATATTAATACCTACTTTTAAAATATACCAATGATTTGTTGATCCGAATGGAAAGAGATCGATTTCTTTTAAATAAGATTTCAAACTCGAGTTTTGTAAATAGAGAAATAGGTGTTAAGAAAACTTTTCCTCAAATCAAGTCCAAAGCAACTCAATTCTAAATTAGTTGGGGTCTAATGTGATTACTAAAAATTAAGAGATTAGTACAAAAAAAAAATCTACTTTTAAAAGATACAAAAGTATCAATTTTAAAATTTAAATTTCATGTCACAAAAAATATCATCACTTTACTTCTAAAAAGAGATTAACGAACATAAATAACTCAATAATTATTTATTTTCATTAAAGATAAAAGATTTTAAACTTAAATTGTATAATATATAAATAAAATAAAATAAAATAAAAAAACATAATAGATAGATCTCTTTCATTGTGCAATTGTCTCATCGCTGGTCGCACGGAGTGATCAGCACATTGCTGTTTATTGGAATAACAACAAACGGTGAAAGCGTATTGCCCAAAATGAAAATTTCAACGACATCGTTTCTCTTCCATCATGGGCCGGCCATTTCATTGGGCTGATCTTGATCAGTTATGAGCCCATATAACATTCAAACCATGAACCCTAATTACGACAAAATCGAAAATCCTTACCTCAGACTCAAAAAAAAAAAAAAGGAAGTTGGATTGGAATTATTAATCCACTAATTGGAGAAAAATATGATGGTACATGTTATTGAATATGGTTTATGATATATGGTGGTGAACATTAGATTCCGAAGATCTCTAAAAACCCAGCATGTTCTCAAATCATTTGTACCAATGCTTTTATCTGATTCAGGGGAATGAGAACAAAGGTCATAGGTAGACAAGTTAGGCATGATCAGGACCAAAAGATAAGGATATAAAGTAAAATTCCACATCAAGCAATACCCCACAAAGAACCGTCCATTATCTAAACACCTCTTTAGTTGCAAAGTACCATCATCAATATACTAGGACACCAACCTCTTATTCTACTGGTGTGGAGCAGTGATGTGGGAACCACATTCTAGAGTTCCACAGAAATACATCAAACTAGACTTGTTTGGAAGTTAGAACATATTGATTCTAATTCTAATATAGATGTTCTTTGAAATTTCAAGCAAAACTCTGGTTTATGTTGGCCTTTTAGAATAATGGGTTGATGTATTAATTAAAAGACCAAATTATAAAACACTAGTAATTACACAATAAGCCCTCCCTCAATATTAGGCGCCTACTCTTAATCTTTCGATTAGTGTTTTATATTTCAGTATTGTTTCATAGTATAAACAGGTGTAATCCAAATTGCAACACTTTTTAATAATTAAATTTCTTCAATAATTTTTGGATTTTAATGAAAATTAGAGGGCCTGCTGCTTACACTTACCAAGTAAATAATACAAAAAAAAAAAAAAAGGTGAGATAATTTTTGAAGAGAAATTTCTAGTCAAAGACTAAAAGTAAGTTGGTTGCAATCTCTATTTATACAGGCAGGGGCGGCAAGTCATCTCTATTTATACGGCAGAGGCGGCAAGGATGACAATAAGGGTTTGCTTGGTCGGTTTGATTTAAGATTGTTTCTTTTGTTCTTCTTACTCCACACATATGCATATGCAAAAAAACCAGAAAAATAAATGTAGGACGGTGTATAAAGAATATTATATACACCAAGATAGAATTTTATTTAATTTATAATAAGGGCATGGGGAGTTAGTCATTTATATATTCAGAGATAAAAGAATGTTAAACTTGAAACTTCCGAAAACCTGAAGTTGTCCTAAAGCCTTGACCACTAGTAATAATGCTATAAAGACAGATTGTTGTAATATTAGATTTTAGTTTAGGTCCCAGTCTGTCCGCCACATTAGTATATTTAACCTAGGATGCAACAAAATGTGAAAAATCCAATAACTAAGCTTTGAGGAGAAGTTCAAACAAAATTTTAAACAGTTGGCACTCTTTTTTCATTAATAATGTTCCTATTGGAAGATCAGGGGCGGATTCACATAATGGGGGGAGGGGGGGGGGGGGGGGGGGGGGAGAGGAGGGGACCCATATTGAAATATACAGAAGATTCCTACACGCTCCGTCCACATGTGTATTTATATTGAAATATACAGAAGATTCCTACACGTCCGTCCACATGAGTATTTAACTTTTAAATTCTTTTAATTTGCTATCATTGTCATCATGAGGAAAAATATATATATATATATATATACATATATAATCTTCAAAATCATCTTGGGATGGAATAGCCATTTAGTCAATGAACATGCTATCAACTTAACAATTTTTCTTCAAATTTAACAATTTTTTTTCAAATTCAATGCTTGAGGCAAATCAAAGCTTACCTTGATTTGAAATCTTCTACTAATTTCAGGCAGGATAAATTGCGGCTGCAGCCCTGCAAACGGAAATATTATCATGTTAGGCTTATGTACACCTAAATCATACATAACCAAGAAAATAAATTTATAGTCAAGAAATGTACTGATGAAAATAAACGCATTTCACTCTTAGGTCTCTAGGCGACTTGGTATTTGGTTGACCAATATTGTTATTGCATGGTCACAACTCTAGGGGTAATACTGTGATTAATGACTATTATGTATATATATTAGAATACTCCTTGTACTCTAAATAAAAAAAAAAATGTTTTTTACCTTTGGAAAAACAAAAATACTGTGACTACTGACTGAAGAAGAAACTAATCTCTCATTTATGTTGAAATTTCACCTGAGTAGCTGTGCTGATTCTTATTTGAGATATTATCTGCTTTGGAACATGGAGCTCAGGATTTTGTCCTCTAAAAGTAGCCTTACAAGGGGAAGATTTATTCTCCCTCATATCCCATGAAGCTATCTTCAACTCTAGTCAATATGGAATGTAGATCTCACTCCTTGTAGCATCAATTTAGGAAAAAGAAAAGATCCCATAAACAACTTACATAGCCTGCTGAAAAAAAATATCCAAGAAGAATAATTGAAGTAAAGGTAATAGAGAATTTTCAACAGATACGTGTCAGTATCCTAATGCATGTGAATGACTAAGCAGTAGGACCATCTACCATGTCTGCCAACTCAGTAAAGTATTGCTCATAGCAAGTTGCATTTTGTCACTTATAGCCTACTTTTTTGCTATATATTTTTCAAAGAGATCGATACACATATCTAACAATCAACACTTTTCCCATTTATCAATACTTGAAATCAACCAAGTCCTGCAAGAGAAATGGCAGCTGAAGCAGATACCCAAGAACCCATTTCTGTATTGGTATGCAAGATTTTACCTTTTCTTCTATTACTTTGTTTCCTATTTTGCATTTGTTCTGCATATACAAGCATGACGGATATGTATTTCATCTTTGTACATATGCTGTGCTAGTTTGATTTTTTATCAAATCTATATGGGGATCAAAAAGTAGATACTCTGGTCTTTCCCTGCTTTATCTCTAAACAAAGGAATATCTAAACAACCTTTCTTCCTTTTTACAGAAAAGTTGGTTCCATAATAAAGATAATATTCTCAAATCTCTACCTTCTAGTTTAAGGGCCTTTGAGTTTTTGTGATTCACTAAAATTAGTGGTAAGCTTTTGTCAACTCTAGAGCTGCCATGATTTAACCTTCAACAGGGTTAAACCAATATAGAACTTAAAAAAAATTAGTTTGCTGGAAATTAATATTTGATCCTTGGACAAGAATAATCAGAAGAGCAGGAACACAGTTCTATTCTGCAAAACTTCTTCAGATTATTGAAATTTTTACTTTATCATCTATTTGGAGTTACCCTGAGTTAGAGGTTTGGTTTTCCCTGCATATTTTCCGCTCTTGCATTATTTGAGTTTAAAACTCTGACATAAATATATCAATATGATGATCAAAGTCCTTTCAAAGGACAATTTTCTGCACCCAGAGGAAAATGAGACAGAAACTATCAGGGTTTCTGATAATAATGAACCATGAATAGTTTTCATTATTATTATTTTTTGTTCTAAAACACCTTCTGAAAAATTACATTCACTGTCGTACTTTATTATTTGGTTGAGGGCAAAATTTTTTTCCCAATATCTAATATAATTCAGGCAAGCAAAATAATACCTGGCTTACCTTATTTAAGTTTTAGTTTCTATATTAAGGCATTCAAAAATAGAAGTATGCATGCTGATATGGTCACATTTTCACATTTTCATATATAGAAAAGTGAAGTGCAGTGTGCCCTGCACGAACTACATTTCACTAAACCATTGATGGAGGGGCAGGCCTCCTTATTGGGGGTCCAACCCTCCATCAAAGATAACTGTTTTGCAATCTGAGGATTGCAAAACAGCATTCTGTTTTCATATATGTATATAATTGGATGGACTGCTCAAACATAAATAAGGTAAGATTAAACATACCCTAATATAATAAAAGGCCAAACCTCTTATTTGCACTTTACACTTTCTTTTTTTTTTTTTTATGGTTAACACCCTTTATAATTTAAAATGCATAAAAAATCCTAAATTACCAACAAGATTAGGGTGTAAATAAGTGATTTGACTGTTAATTTTTGGGATTTTAATGGGTTTTAAATTATGGAGGGTGTTAACCACGAGAAAAAATAGTGCAAAATGAAAATAAAGAGTTTGGCTCTAATAAAATGGTACACAACTTGACTTGTTCACACTGTTAGCTGACCTCAATTGACTCTATCTGCTGGAAAAACCAAAAAATTAAACAAATTAGAAATAATTTTTAATTTGTTCTCCTCAAATAGCTGAAAACAGCTCAGCATACACGATGAGATAAATATTAGAATGGAAAGATAGAAAAGATACAGATTAACACATCAAACAAAATTCATTAGGTTTCTACAATTCCATAGGCATGCTTTTAAATATGAATGCTAACTATCCCATGTCCGTCTACGGCATATCATCAATAGAAAAACGCCTATGCCATTACAATGTTGCATTTAATTTCCTTCATTATGAAACCATAGTTCAACTTGAGTGACAGAGCAGCAGACAGAAAGTTAGACATTTGTATGAAGAGTTCAGTATTATGTTTTTTAAGACCTTAATTGTCAAGTGTCATATTTCTCAGTTAGCTTTCTGTCATATATGAGGATCCTATTTTTCTATGAAAGGAAAATCATCCAAACTGGGAAAGACTAAAGAAAATGATTAATAACAGATTAGTTATAAATAAAGAGTTAGCAGTTTTGCATTCCACGCAATTTTATAACCATTTATATATCCTGAGAAGGCTGTAGTGCAGTCCACCCTGTGCAGACTGCACTTCAATTTTCTGAAACATCTTCATCAGGGGATTTTTTCTTCCTCTTTGATAAAAGAAAGAAAGAAAAAAAGTTATTTCTCACCCAATATCAATGTAAATGACGATGCTTCTTTATGTACAAAAGAGAAGAGGAGAGTCAATACTTAACCAGTGGGATGTGTGACAGTGCTGTTGGTGAGCTGCAGCAAGGAAAATTGAAGGAATTCGAAAGCAAGCTTAGCCAGCCCCCACAACTGATGAGCTTTTGTCAAAAACAGAACAAAAGCAAACAGCCATTGGTGTTGGTGCTGAAATGGAAAGTACGGTCTCTAAAGGCAATCCAGAAAACTCTGACGGAGAGAGTATTTTAGTCTTCCCAGAGGTTCTCAAGTTTCCAAGAAAAGAGACCTGTGAAACATCAGAAATTTGTGAGGTTGATGACAGTCTACATCAGGCAGGCCAGGAGGTAACCAAGGACAAAAACCAGATGGAGAATGTTAACAAGTTTCAGATTGTGGAGAAAGCAGGAGTTGGGGAAGGTGAAGTGATAAAGGCTATGGAGGGTGGAGAGCAAAAGATTGATCCAAACCAATACAATCTAGATCTTGCAGCAACCTATTTGATGAAAAGAAGTTTTGGAGATTCAAGTGTCAATCTTGGAGAAAGTGAAGGTTTAAAGGAGGAAAAAATCCTTAATCAACTACCTGAAGTGATTGCTGCTAAAGATGCCCCATCAGAGGAAGCTCCTGAAGCAATTGATGAGCAAGACAGTGCATCTATTGATGTGCCAAGTGTGGATGACATTGCACCTACCTTGCAGGAAATACTTGATCATGCCCCCAGTATCACAACCAGAGATAAGCAAGCTACAACAGAATCAAGTGACAAGATGAAATCTCTTGATGAAGATAACAAGCAAGGTAAGAACCTCTTACATATATCTTTTATCAACCATAATGTGTTCAAAGTAGTCTCCAATCTCAGGTCGGAGGTTATTTTTTTAGGGGAGACTCTAATTAAGTTAAAATCACTAATTGGTTTAAAATACCTGCTGCAGGTAATGCAGCTGATAAAGGTATATTAAAAGATGACCCCTTGGTCGAAGTTAAAAGTTCTATATCTATCATAGATGAGAATGTTGAGAACTTTGAAGTCAAGAGCCTTCCAGAGGCAACACCAGTATTGAGTGGAGAAGACAAGGATTGGAAAGGAGAAGATGCTGGTGAAAGGAATAATAACATTACAGAAGAAGAGGTATGATTGTGGTATTAGCATGTGAAAACACATGCACAAACATTAAGAATTTAATCCCCTGAATAAGGTTTTGATTATGTTTAAGCCTCAATTTTTATTCCAGGTGAATGATGGACCAGGGATTATGCACCCTGCTGAGGCCACCAAAGAAATCATAAAAGATAACAATATGCTTCCTTTGCCAAAACTGAATGAAGGAGAAAGATTTGAGAGCTTTAAAGATGATGAGAACGAGGCAGAGAAATCAAAACAAGAGGATGATACAGAATGTGTCACAGAAGTTGGACAGAATGAGGACCTCAGACTAGAATCTGCTGAAGAAGTTTCAGACCAGAACTTTCAAGTTGATGAAAAAGAATCTGATAAGTTTGAAGGAGAGGTCAGCTTTACTGTGAATTTTATGGCTATCTTAGTTTTCTCTTATTAATCTTTTCCTCAGTCTTACAAATACTAGTTAACCATATTTATGCAGAAACTTGAGAAGTCTGAGGCAGCAGCAAGAGAAAGCATTGAAAGCAAGACGAGTCAAACTGCTGAAAGTCCACAGGAGAGGCTTAGCACTTTGATGATGAGACAAGACTATAACTTGCAAATTGAGGATAAAAGCACCACTACAACAGAAGCTTTGCTAGAGGAGAAAGGAAATGACAATGAGCTAGGTGAGACTGAAGGACCAAATGAAAAGAAAATACTGCAGAATAAAGATTCAAAGATCTTGCAGGAAAGTGAACCAGGGGAGAAGCTTGAGCATTCATTGCATTTGACACCTGAGGAAACTGAGAGAATTCCTTCAGAAGCTGATAAGATTCCTTCTCTCATGGAAGGAGTTCTTCAGAACCCTGGAGAATCTCTAGAAGAAGAAGTCACAGGAGAAGCAGATAACAATAGAGTTGAAGAAAATGGCACTAAAAAGGAGGTGAAAAAGAATAAATCCTAAATTATCTAGCATATTTTAATGTCCAAGTCATTACTAAAATGATCACATTTGTTCAATGCATGAGGTAATTTGATGATGTAATCACATCTACATTGCAGGATCTCAAACTAGGTGCTGAGACATCTGATGCAAGCAAAAACAAGGAGAGCATAATCTCTGAAAAGGAGACAAAAGTAGGTAAATTGGAGATAGAAGCATTCACAAAGGCATACAACCTGGAGTCAGAAGAAAAGCCAGAATGTGGAGATAGATCAGATTTAGAAGTTAATACACAGAAGGAAGAAGCTAAGGAGGTCTGATTTGAAACATGAACATTAACTTGATCCCATTCTTTTCTTTAAATGGAAATAGAAATCTTTATAACTGTTGTTGAGGTTATACTTCTATCTATCATGCAGGGACATGAAGGTGCTAAAATTGATGATAGGGAAGAGGACACGGTACAGTCCATCATAAATGATGAATCTCATAGTGGAGATAGCTCACTGGAATTTGTTGGAGAAGAATCACGTGAAAGCCACCAGGGAGTAAAAATAGAAGAAAAGATGCCTGAAGTAGAGGTATAGTTCAGAACACATTTAGGAATCTAAGAGCCTCATTCATGAGCTTACATTGAATATTTCATGATTCAACAATCTACATTATTTCCTTCAAATTAGAAACGAAAAACCTTTCACTTTTGTCCAGGTACAGGAACCTGAAACAACCAACACATCAGAAGATGCTGAAAAACACACGTTTGAAGAGAAAGAAGAAGAAACTAGTAAGCATCAGTCAACACTACTTGCAGCTAAAATCGAAGAGGGTTCTAAAGAAGAAAATACTGTACAAATAATGACAGAAAAAGAGGTAAGTAGACCATATGAACCCCTCATCTTTAAACTTGTGGGTTAATCTAAAATTCTGAATTTGGACATCCATCAATGCATCAAAGCGCACACACACACATGCATGGGATATCACAGAGACACACGTGGAATTTTGAGCTGAGATAGCACCATCAGAGACATTAAGACAAAAGTGCTGTATACTCCATCAAAAAGACTGTTGGGTCTTTTTGGTCTAAATTTCCTTCCTTCACTGTACTCTATTCATTTCAGGAAAATCAAGCCACTCATAAAGACAATGACATTGATACACAGCAAACAGAGGATGGCAGCAGCAAGGCTGGCGACAACTTTGAGGTGCCTGCAATTGAAACCGACAAAGAGGAATCTGATTCAGGGGAGAATAAGGAAAGAGAACCAGAAAAAGAGGTCTGCCTCTTGGTGATATTTTAGAGTTTGGTACTTGGGGTTGGCAACATGGTCATGTCCAAACTAGCGTATACAAGTTCCTTAAGTTAATGCATGCTTTTCAAGGATCCAGATGACATAAATAATAGATAATGTCAAGAAAATCTCCATAAAAGAGGGAGAAGAACTATAATATCCGCATGCTTTTCAAGGATCTATTCATGACATAAATAATAGATCATGCCAAGAAAACTCCATAAGAGAGGGAGAAGAACTATAATATCTCGTTATCTCCCCTATCCCGCTCCCCCCTTCTCCCCACCCTGGGGTATATTGAGGATAACCGATTATAATTTCCAATTGTTTTGAATAAATTTGAAAGGCATCTTTTGCATTCTATTATACAGTCATATTATGATATTCTGATGAATAGGCTGCTTACCCATATCTTACATAGGTATATGAAGCATTCAAAACAGCAGATTCAGGAACAGGCAAAGAAAATCTGAGCATAGATGAAAATGATGAAGACTTCTCTTCATCAACTAAAGATGAAATTGTGAAAGAAATCTCAAAGGTGATGAAAGCTGCCAGCACGTTCAAATGCTATTTTTTACCTTCTTTTCTAAGTTATTAACTTGACTATTAATTTTTTCACAGGTTAGCAATTCAAATTTAGCCCTCACGAGAGATACTGAAGAAACAGGTTCAGTGGAGAAGATAACCCCTCAGACCACAGAGGACATGCCAGAGCCAAAGAATGACCAATGTACTCTTGATATCACAAAGGAGGGAAAAGAGGAAAAAATACCAGAAGAAATGGAAGAGGGGCTCATCCAGAACTCTTCCTTCGAGTCAGAAGTCTCTAAGGACACTGAAAAAGAAAGAACAAATATTACTGATTCTGACTCTCTATCCCTTGCAGCAGCAATAGAAGAGACAAAAGTAAAGGAAGCTGAACCAGAAGATAAAACAGAGATAGGAGGATCTGATGTTCCTTTAGAAGAGAAAGGCCTGGCTGCAATAGAAACAAAAGGAATTGAACTGGGCAGTGAGGACATCAATGCAAAAGAGGACTCCAACTCTTTTGAGAAGGACAAGGAGATTTCAACAACAGCAGTATATGAAACACAAGATGAGACTTCAAACACAGGAGGTGAACACCAAAAGGAGGTTACCACAAGGGAGAGTCCCTTAAAAGAAATATTGGAAGGTCACTTAAAGGAATATTCTGAAGTGCCATTGGACGAACATGCTCCCACATCCTCTGAAGCAACTGAAACAAATGAAACTTCTGAAAAAATTCAAGATCCATGCGAAACCTCAGAAACTCATTCCATGTCACATCGAGTAGAAGAGATGTTGGTGCAAAAAGAGGATAATTCCTCCAATCCATTAGCTGTCGCTGTACTTGGGACTATAGATATGGGAGAGGGGAGTGTAGATAAAATCAAGAAGCACACAGGTGAAGATCAAGATCTGCATAGTGAGCAGCCAACTGAAACATACATCTCCAGAACAGAAGATGCAGAAGTCTCAAGAGGGGAAGAAACTAGAGAAGAGGGTGAGTGTGAAAAGCCAATTGATGAGACGGCAAATTGTATTGAACCTTCTGGCATAAGAGAGGATGGAGAAGCGGATATTGAGGAGCCAGAAAATTATTCTACCAACTTGGTAGGATGCTTGAAGGGTAGTACTGATGTAGAAAAGGAAGCAACTGAAGTAGAAAGATCTGATAGCCCCATACATGAGGTCCAAAATGTCAATGAGGAACCATCACAAATAGAAGAGGTTAGATCAATCATTACTCCTTTCACTCCAAATGACTAGAAGTTAATAACATTGTTGCTTCCTATATTCTCCATTTTATATGATAACATGGGAAACACTATAGTTATTCACATAATCTTATTTATCAATGATAGCACACTAACTTCCTCAAGTACTGAAAAAAAAAAAAGAAAAAAAAAGAAGAAGAAGAAGAAGAAGAAGAAGAAGAAGAAGCATGCCACTGCTTTTTATACAATTTTTAAACATTAGTGACCTATGTATTTACAGGTGAAAGACTACTTTCAACTCTCCACTGAAAATGAGGAAGGCGATAAAACTGATGTAATCGAAAGAGGAACTGGTGCAGTTCACATGCCCAGAGGACAAAGTGCTGAAGACACTGATAAAGATGAGAAAAGCCCAACTATGGAAGATCTGGACGAAACACCAAGCAGTCATCCAGAGCGTGCAGAGAGTGAAAGTTTGACTTCAGAAACTTTACATGCAGTTGAATTGGGAAAAGACATATTAGCTTCAGATGCAGTTTATGAGCCTCAAGACAAGGATACTGAAAAAAATGTAGAAACCAGGGAAAGCACAATTGAAGAGACTGAAGGAGGTTTGGAATATCAATATGCTAAACAAGATGATATTACTTTCGACAAGGCTCTGCCAGAAGTGAAATCAGAGGAGCAACTTCAAACTCCATCCCCCAGATTGCCTTCTCAAAACAAGGAGATAGAAACTACAACCATTGAAAAGGAAAAAGAAAAGCAACAGGAGGACATGAAGACGCTAGAAAGTAGGTCTCCAGAAGATTTTTCTGATGCAAAGACAACAGAAGAAGTATGTTTGAGAAGTGAAGAACAAAGGGAGCCTAAAGTTGTTCTTGAAGATGACATTACAGTTTGTCAGGGTGTTCCAGCAGAGAAACCAGAGGAGAAAATTCAGACTCCTCCTTCTCTATTGCCTTCTGAGGAACAGGAGTGCCAAAAAACAAACATGGATGGGAAGACAGAACAAGACAAAATAAAGGAAGCAACAATCATGCTGGATCAGACTACAGATGACCATTCAGATGCAAACACAGGAGATGATGTTACTACTACTGTTCAAACTCTAATGGCAGAGAAATCAGATGAACAGATTGAAACTACAAGCCCTGTATCTCTCACCAAGGAACAGGAGAGTGAAACTGCAGTCAGTATTGAGAAGACTGAAGACAAAAAAACAGCAGACACAGGAATACTGGAGGATGAAAGTCCAGAAGATTCTTCAGAAACAAAGAAAACAAAAGAGATATGCTTTATACAGGAAGAGCCTCAGGAGCTTGAAGGTGATCAAAAAGAAGAAAATGCTGCTGCTCAAAGCCTCCTGGTAGAGAAATCGAAGGAGCAAATTCCAGCCCCATCATCTACATTGCCTTCTGAGGAACTAGGGCATGGTACTACAACCAAAGTCGATGAGATGGAAGAAGAGAGAGTGAATGAAGACAAAGGACCCATAGAGGTTGAAGGTGTTGCAGAAAGAGAAGTTATTGCTGGTTCGATACTGCCAGCAGATGAATCAGAGGAGATTCAAAATACCAAATCAGTTGAGAAGGAAGCAGAAAAGCTAGAAGATGAGAGTCATGAAGATTCAAGCATGGCAATTGTGCAACATGAACTTACAGATGGTCAGACAATTTCGGCAGAAAAAACAAAACAACAGGCTCAAGAAGAGGAGCAAGAAGCAATGACCATTGCAAAGATAGAAGATGATAAGGAGGGAGCAGAAATCATAGAAGATGAGAATGCAAATTCAAATGCAATGAAAGATTTGTGTTTGAAAAAGGATTCCACAGAGCCTGAAACAGTTGAAGAAACTGAAATCACTGCTGATCAGACTTCCATAGAAGAGAAATCAGAAGAACAGAGTCAGAGTGCAATCTCTGCATTGCCCTCAAATGAACAGAAATGTGATGATGCAACTAGGGTTGAAAATACTGAAGATCAGGTTTTTTCAGCAGAGGAATCAGAACAACAGGTTCAAGGAAAGGAGCATGAAGCAGTGATTACTTCTAAAATGGTAGAGGATGATAAAAAAGAGGAAGCAACAACCATAGATGATGAGGGTGCAGAAGATGCTAAAGATTCAAAGACAATGGAAGATTTATGCCAGCAAAAGGAGCCCACTGAGCCTAAAGCAGTTACGGAAGATGAAATTGCTGCTGATCAGGCCCCTGTGGAAAAGAAAGCAGTGGAACATATTCAGATTGCTACCTCTGCATTGACCTCCTCCAGCAAACAGGAGTGTGAAGGTGCAACTGAAGTTGAGAATACTGACGGTAAGACATTTTCAGCAGAGAAATCAGAGCAGCTGGTTCAAGAAAAGGAGCATGAAATGGGTATAATTGGTGAGAAGATAGAAGGCAATAAAATAGAGGGAGCAGAAATTGTAGAGCACGAGAACACAAAAGATGCTTCAGATTCAAATATAATGACAGATTTAAGCCAGCAAAAGGAGTCAACAGAACCTGAGGCAGTTATAGAAAATAAAATTACTGCTGATCAGACATTGATGGAAGAGAAATCAGAGGAACAGATTCAGAATGCAATCTCTGCATTGCCTTCCGAGGATACGGAGTTTGAAGGTGCAACTACAGTCGAGAATACTGATGGTCAGATTTTTTCAGCAGAAAAATCAGAACAGCAGATTCAAGAAGAGCATGAAGCAGTGATAATTGCTAAGAAGATTGAAGATGACAAAAAAGCAGGAGCAGAAATCACAGAACGTGAGAGTGCTGGAGATGCTTCACATATAAAGACAATGGAAGATTTATGCCCACAGAAAGAGTCCACAGAGTCTGAAGCAGTAATAGAAAATGAAACTACTGCTGATCAGACTGTCCTGGAAGAGAAATCAGAAGAAAAGATTCAGATTGCAAGCTCCTCATTGCCTCCCAAGGAAGTGGAGTTTGAAGGTGCTACTACAGTTGAGGATATTAAAGAAGGCAAAATAAAGGAAACAGAAAATTTAGAAGGGGTTGATGCAAAGAGGGCAGAAGATGTACTCTTGGAAAAGGGAATGCTTCAGGAGTTTGAAGCTGTTGTCAGAAAAGAAGAAATCACTTCTCAGAAAAAAGAGGAAGAAGAAATCTTAGAAGATGAGAGTGCCGAAGATGCAAAGACAATGAGGGATTTATGCTCCCAAAAGGAATCCACAGAGCTTGAAACAGCTTTAGATAATAAAATTACCATTGATCCGACAGTTGTGGAAGAAAAGCCAGAAGAGCAAGTTCAGATTGCAACCCATGCATTGCCTTCTGAGGAACAGGAGTGCAAAGGTGCCACCATAGTTGAGAATATTGAAGAAGAGAAGACAAAGAAAGCAGAAATTCTAGAACAAGATATACTCTTGCAAAAGGAAAGGCTTCAGGTGTCCAAAGCAGTTAGACAGGATGAGATCGAATCTGCTCAGGGTCTACCAATGGAGAGTACAGAGCAGCAACTCACAACTCCTTCCCACACATTGCCCTCTGAGGAAGAGGAGCATGGAACTGCCACTAAAGTCAATAAGATGGAAGAAGAGACAATGGAGGAAGAAGAAATTCTAGAAAAGGATTCTTCTGCAGGAAAGCCAGAAGAAAAAGGAGCAGAAGATATTTCCTTAGCAAAGGAAAAGCTTCAGGAGCTTGAAGGGGTTACAAAAAATGAAGTTGCTTTTGCTCAGACTCCAATGACGAAACTAGAGGAGCAACTTCAGGCTCCATCCACCAAATTGGTATCAGAGGAGGAGGAGGAGCATGGAACTAAAACTGGGAATGAAAAGATAGGAGAAGAGAAACTGAAGGAACTAGAAATGCTTGAAAGGGAGTATTCGGCAGCAAAGTCAACAGAAGAGAAACGCTCTGAAAAGGAAGGGCCCAAGGAGTTTGAAGATGTTATGAATGAAGAAATCATTGCTGATCAGACTCTGCCAGCAGAGGAATCACAGGAACTCGAAACTAAGAGAGCAGTTCAGAAGGTTGAAGAACTGAAGGAAGCAGAAAAGCTAGAAGATGAGAGTTGTGAAAATGCTTCGTACGGGACAAAAACAAAAGAGATATGCTTCCCAATGGAAGAGCCAAGCAAGCTTCAACACGTTGCAAAGGATGAAATTGCTGCTGTCCAGACTTTTTCAGCTGAGCATTCCGAGGAACTTCAAATCTCAGCCCCTGCACTATCTTCTGAAGGCAACGAGAAAACAATAGAAGAAGATGAACCCAAGAAGAATGGAGATTCCAGTGAAAAGGTTACCACTTTCCACCAACAAACCCAGAATTTCTTAAGTTTCGTACATTTTCTGGTTTCTATCTCTAATCGCTTTATTCACTTAACAACTATTAAGTATTGACTGAGGAAGGAAAAATGACAGATCACAGAGGACAAGGAAGTTGTTCAAACAATGAAAGCTAGCGACCAAGAAGATCAACTAAAGGATGGATTTTTAGGTGCTGAGGAGAACAATGCAACATTTAAAACCACAGCAAAAGATATTCAAACTGAAGAGGTCAGTAAGGAGGAATTAACTTTATTCATCTTGCTCTTTTCTTGCTAGTCTCTTCCCATAAGTTGAATCCTTTTTCTTTTTCGTTTTTTCTTTTTTTTTTCCTTTTTGTAAACAGATGTCAGTGGAAATCCAAAAGGTGGATGGAAACAAGAATGTTGAGAAAATTCAAGCTGAAGACAGAAGTCCCAAGGACACAGACAACACTTCTTCAGTTGCCATGACAGAAACCAAAACTATCAGGGAAGAGGTTAGACTGCATTCAATCCTACCTTCTTCTTCTTCGGTGATCTACAGAAGTTAGTAAAGAAGATAACTTGTAAAAAAAATAAAGCTAAGCAGCTTATTATTATTATTTTTTATCTTATATCAGGAATCAGGTGTAGCGACATCACAAATGGAAAGCAGCACAGAGAAAACGGCTAATGAAGCTTCTGACGAGCAGATTCCAAGTGAAGTAGATATGGCTGAGAGCAGTAGAAAACCAGCTTCAACTGGCACTGAAATTGGTCTACTGGAGAAGCTGGATGGAGTGGCAGAAACCTTTAGGAAAGGTGAAGTAAGAGATCTGGAACCTGGAAATGCCAAAGAGATTTATCCAGAAATAAAAAAAGAATTTGAACACGGAGGAGGAGAGAAAAAATCTTGTGATCCAGATGACTCGGCAATTCAGGAGATAACCACAAAAGAAACTCCACCAGTGACTAAAGAAATGACAAAACAGAGAGAGCGGACAGCAAGCAAAAAGAAACCCCAAATTGAAGAAGCGGATGAAGGGGAGGAGGGAAACAAACGGAGGAAAATGGATTCGGACCCTGATTCTCCTGTCATGGTGGAAGCACCTAGAGAGAAAGAGAACATTAGAAAGGTTCCACCAAAGAAATCTCATAACATCCTATCAGGTGTTGGATCCAGGGTGAAGCATTCAATTTCCAAGGTAAAGAAAGCCTTTATTTGTGCATCTCCTAACGTCGTAAATCCAAAATCGAGTGAGAAACAAGATGAATAAAGCACTGAAGAATCAGAAAAAAAAAAAATTAAGATAATAGATAGTTGGTTAAATTTTCTTTTGAAGATGGATTGGGTTTGGTGTGTATTTCCACAGGATTAATTTTTTTATTTTTATTTTTTGGTATGTAACTAAGTAAGGATGAATAATTTTACTCCAGCTTGTGTTTGAAATAGTTTGAACAGTTTCATCATAATAAAATGATTCAAATTTTCGTATAGTCTCTTCAATCATATACAGTTACTATCTAAAAAGAGACATTGCACAAATCAGGCATGTAGAAGCTACCAAGTAACAGCAGTTTTCAGGAAAAGAAAGAAAGAAAAAAAGAGTGAGCTAAATGTCAGGAAAGAGAATGTTACCTTTTACGTATGCCGGAGAGATACCGGGAACCAGGTCTGCGTTTTTTTGGTCGGAACGTTTCGCCGGAGAATGGCGTTACCTTCCGGCCACTCGTTACGGTGGATTCCCAGCTCCTACTCCACGTTTTATTTGTCTTGGGGGCGACGCCCACGCGGCAATCTGTAAATGGAAACGTAGGAGAAAACGAAACGACGTCGTACGATCGGCTCCTTTTATTTTTGTGGCGAAATATAAAACCAAAGCTTTATTAAATCTAAAATTCAAAAAATATTTTGCAATTTCGAAATATAAAATAAAATATTTGAATGAGAAACAAACCGAACCCTTGCTAAATTAAAGGTTCTTCTTATTAAAAAAATTTTATATTTTATAATTTAATACAACCTAAATTCTTACTAAATTAATCTATATATTGGATCGAATTTCTTTCCCCAGAATATCAGTCCACAACTAAAATCAGAAAGCAAAAAATCACATGGAAAAATAGTTAACGGTGAATAAATGAAAATATAGGAATTTTCTATAATGAATATTAACAAAAATAGTACATGTGATACTTTAGCAAAATTTTAGCCAACAAAAATGGCAATGTTTAACTTGAGATAACAATTAGCTTCATATCAGTATATAATGAGATGAAAAGGCTAAGCGCTTTTTTGCTTCTTTTCAGGTTTCTGAGCCTCTTGGATGTTTCTCTTTCGCTCCTTGAGCTTTTCGACATGAGTCTCCTTCCTTTTCTTGCCAATCTGAACAAAAGAGAAAGGACCCCATTCATAAATCACCAAAAACCAAACAAGAATGTGATTACCATCACATACTCAGATTAACAAACAAATTCAAAATTTTCGTTTTTAGAACCAAGAATGTCAGCTGTCTATGTTAATTTACTTATGTTTACAAGTATGCATGCATCCGGCATTTCATATCAAAAGGTGAAAAGAAAATGAAAAAGGGGAAAAACAAAGTTACCCGGATGGCTTCATAGAGTCCTCGCTCTCTACGTGACATCATTGCTTTTGAATGAGCATCAGCATCATTAGCAATTTGTTCCATGTCGGGAAGGGATTCTTCCTTAGAGTCCATCTCTTTAGAGCTTTGCTGATTTATGCTCAAATCGCCCTGAATTTCCATTTTCAATTCGTTCTGATACTGCTTCTCGTAAAGCATTATCTGCAACCAATCAAATTGTCATATATGGGTGGCGCAAAACATCACAAACAACTATTAAGAAATCCAATGGGAGCAAACAACATCAGTTCTGAAACAATATTTTGCTAAAGGGCACAGCCAGTCAATTACTCAGATTAAATACCTTGTACTTCTTCTCAGCAGCCTCATTAGCCTCAGTTCTGTTGATATACCCCTCAGCTAGTAGATGTTGAGGGTCATCCAGTTCATCTTTCCCCATCCCTGGCAATGGAAGGACGTCATTTCTGGAAGCCGCCTGTAATTGTTTAATGGTCTTGGCATAGTCAGGAACATAACCTTCAGCCTCATCATCAACAAATGGTGACAAGTGTGGTGGTGGAACTCTGTTGGAAGAATGATACAGATATCAGTTCAGTTATCAGTGAGTATGTAGACTACCAAATTACTTAAGGTTTTCCCCTTAAAATAAAATGCAATGAGGTGTAATCCATCTGACCAACGATCACAAGTCACAACTGAGAACTGCCACTTTGTAACATGAAAATAGTACAAGTAACATCACCAAAGTTTACCTTTCAACCATGTAAGGCTCAGTTGGCAATATGATCCGTGCATTTACACAGTCATAGACCCATTGGGGTTGAATATATTCTCTTGAAAGGTACTTATGA